TTCACGACCAACCCAAAGGCACCTGGTTTGAATCCACTAGCTACTCTGAGGGAGAAGATGGGCAGTCTTCGCCCATGAGATCTACTGCCTCTGAAAACCCTCTGGAGGGTCAGTTATGCACTGGTACTAACTCAACAGTACATAGCAAGTGGTGTGGTCCACGCAGAGTTACACTGCTGTCCCAGAGCCATGCCTGCAGAGCAGTCAGCATGGCCAAGAGGTGGCCATGTTCCCATAGGAAGCGGCCTATCTCCTAGACTTCAGTGACCACCAGTGGATGTCCTCCATTGGAGACCACCAAATCCAGACACTCAAATCTTGGCTGACCCCATACCAAGACATAAGCAGTCCCTTCCAAATTCTCACATCACATTACCTACAACCATGTACAGAAGAGCAGAAAGGCTCTTCCGGCTCCACCCTCATCCTGCCCCGAGAGTTTTCAGATACTGTTCTTCCAGGGAGACCTGGGAGCTTTATGGTAAGGAGTTGCACTGCTGATGACCTAAAGACATGTGGCTTGAATCCATCAGCTGCTCCATGGGAGAAAGATGGGCCATCTCCTCCCATGCAATAACCCCAAAGCCACGCCTTCCTGGATTGCAGTGCAGCTTCTTGACACTAGGCCACCAGAGCCCAGCCATGCCTCTCTGATGGTTTAAATCCACCAGGGGCTTCTAGGGGAGAAAGAAAGCAGCCTCCTCGCCTGTGATTTACAGCCTCAGAAACCCTTTGGAGAGTCAACAACAGTGAGTGGTTCCAGTGTGACAGTGATGACTTTTGAGTTTCCACCTTTCCTCCAATAGAGTGTGTGTTTGGCCCTCCTCCTGATCCACCTCTTAGCTCTGAAGGGACGCTCACCCAGTGGCTTCCTCTTGGGCTGGCTCGTGGCTTGCTCAGACTTGAGCATGGTGCCCAGCAGCTTTGTCCCAGCCGTCTGACTTCCGTGGGGCTGGCAGCTTTGCTCTTGCAGATCCCTCTCCATGGCAGGGTCTACCATCTGGTAGGGCAGCAGGGAGCCCAGCATGTGTGCGTGTGGCCAGCCAGGGCACCAGACCCAACCTTATTGTTTATTAGAAGATGAGGGTGACTTTTGGGAAGACAGAGATGCCCCCGACTGCCTCTTTGGTGTTTATAAAGCCTAGAGACCTACTTTCCAGCCAAGCCCTCCCTCCTCTCTCACCCCCCCTTCTCCCTTTCACAGCCCGCCCACACCCCTTGCTGGTAGGGTCCCTGCAAGTGCTTGCTTTGGGTGCAGGCAGCTTTCGCCTCTGAATCAGGACCTGTGAGTGTTACTTAGAAATTGTGCAGGAGTTGAGGAGGCTTCTGTTAGGTGGAGATGATAATTGGGCTATTTAAAGACAGTCCTGGAGCTGGCGGGAGCCAGGTGTCCCATGGCTGTTCTGGGGCTCCCTCTGCCTGTTGTGCCTGTGCACGGGGTAGGGCGGAAGCAGGAGGTACTGGCTAGTCACCTCCGGAGCATCTGCCTGGCACCCCTTTGGGGGCTCATCTTTAACCATTTGGCCAGGGGAAGTAGAGCTGCTGCTACCTGGCACCTGATTTGGAAGAAGGCTGGGGAAGGGCTGCTGGCACTGAAGGCAGTGCCTCAGATGCCAGAATTACCAGGTGATTCAGAGGGGAAGGCTGCTGGCACCCAAAGCAAGCACTTGCTGGAGCCAGAGCAGTGAGGGCTGTGATAGGGAGACCACCTCCCAGTGTGGCCCTGAGGGCCTGTTCTCCCTGAGATCTTCCTGTAAGCTTCCACCCACAGGCCTGCCTTTGCCCAACACTGACATACACACCAGGTGCTGCTGACTCCTCTCCAACCCATGGTGTTGCTATTGCGGGAGTCAGAGCAGAGCTCTGTGGAGTTTCCAGTGGCTGGGCTTTCAGAAGTAGATCACCAAGCATTCCTTCTAAGCCTCTTGTGAATGAACTTGAACCTGCAGCTTTCCAGTTAGTAGCTGAGCTCGTTAACTGTTTGCATCACTAGAGACTCCAAGGTTAATTCGTCCTCTCCTATGACTGTGGGGTGCTTTCTGCTTGTCAAAGTTCCGCTCACCCATGGGCTCAATCCCTCAAAGGTAGAAGCAGGGGGCATGGATTTTATGTTAGAGCAGAAGCCTCAGTATGGTGGCCACCCCAAGGCTTCTGAGCCGATCTGTGGCAAAACAGCAGCTCAGCCCCTTTAACTCTTAGCTTCGGGTTCCTCCTTTATATTATCTTGCAAGTTCCCTAGGAATCTGACTGATCAAAGTCCCTCCTAGCATCACTGGGCTCCAGAGCACCTAGTTCTCAAAAATTAAGCTTTCAACACCAGGGACTTCTTCCCCTGCCTCCGTCCTGGGTGTGTGTGTGTGTGTGTGTGTGTGTGTGTGTGTGTGTGTGTGTGTGTGTGTTTAGACAAGGACAGTGGGGGCCATATGGATTTTCCACAGAACCAGAGCAAGTGCTGTTATTAGTGAAGTGGCGGCTCTGGCAAGCCTAGGGTAGAGTCCCCTCCCCTCCTCTCTGCTCCAGAGCCTCTGCGGGGCAGAGGGAGTGTGGGATGCCCTGGGTTGAGTGGAGTGCTGGCTGACATTGCAGCCTCTGCCTTTCACCGTGGCTGCTGAACTTGGAGGAGAGATCCTTTTGACTAGAGTTCATGTTTCTTTTCTGAGCACGTGTTTGTGGAAGCATAACGTGTGTGCCCTAAGCCACCAGGATGCTGGGTCTGCTTGTGAGTGTTTGTGTGTATGTGTGTGTGTTTGGGGTGTATGCACATGCCCAAACTTTTGTGTGAACTACGTCCTTCTGGTGGTGTCTGTGGGAATGAGGTCCCAGAATCCTCAAGGTGATGCTCTTTGATCTGACTCAGGCTCCACATTCCCCCTTTAAAACACCTCCACCTCCTTGCCCAGAGCCTGGATTTGAACCACCAGTGATATTCTACCTCTGAGTTAGCAATACAGTTCTCTAAAGTGTAGTCCACTAGCCCCTCTCATACCCCTTCTGCTGTATCAGCACCGTCAGGTGGGGTGAAAGGCATTCAGAGGCTTGACGCTATTCTGGCTCCTCTGTTGAATTCAGCCCCATATGCAGGAAAAGGAAGCACTGGTAGCTTTAATGGTAAGGGATTGCCTTAACAGCCTGAGGCCTTTGGTTCAAATCCACCACCTGCTCTGAGGGAGAAAGATGGGCAACCTCCTGGGTGATTTAAAGCCTCTGAAAACCCACTGGAGGGTCATCTATGAGTCCGTTCCCACTGGAGGGTGTACATAATGACATATGCAGGAGGAGGGAGCGCCCAGTGTCTGACCTCTCCCACTGCGTCCCTTGCCTCTTGTCCACCCGAGCCCTCTTGTTCTGCCTGATGTTCCTAAGGAGAGTCTCTCCCATGGAGGAGGGGGCGGGCAAGGGGGGAGAAGGTAGGTCCATTGTGAACACATCCATGTGCCCATCTCTGCACTGGACCTTCATATCCCTCCTGTCCCAGAGTGAAGACAGCTCCCTCTGGAAACTGACTAACGTTAGAGCCTTCCAACATGGCCAGGGAAATGGAAGCTGGCGGTGGGCAGAGAAACACCCAACTAAATGGTGCCTTCCTCATTGCACCTTCCTCTACTGACCTATGACAGGCTCCTGGCCTTGTGAGGTGCTTACTGCCCTCTGGTGACTCTGGCAGAGCTACTGGGGATAATAGTGAGCCGGTGGCCCCCACACCTCAGCCCAAGCCCACACTGGCCCTGGGTTCTTTTCCGGCCTCTGGTTAAATCAAAGGAGGTAGGCTGTGCGTTCAGCCTGGAAACCCGGTGCCTGCCAGGCCCGAGTGTGTTACTCCTTGGCAGACTTCACCAGCGGGAACTGCCTCAGCCAGCGTCTTCCCTGAATGATGGGCACCTCCCGGCCCTGTGCCTCGCAGGTGCCTTTCCTAGGATCTGTGTTGGGCCAGTCAGCCTACTCTACTTCCTGTGACCTGGGCACTCCTGCCTGTGTGGACGACTCCTAAGAACCCTTTACACCCTAACTAAGTCAGCGAAGGAGAGGAAGACCCTCCAATGAGATGATTGACACAGTAACTACAGCAATGGACTCAAGGGTGTCAGAGATGATGAGGATGGCACAGGATAGGACAGGGCTCAGCTCTGTTTTTCACAGGGCCGCCATGCTTGGTACTTGGCACCTAACAACAAGAGTGTGTTAGTTAACCCCTTCTGCACTTGCGTTGACTAGAGTGGGGGGAGGGGCCAGAGACCCTAATTTCCTTCTCCCCTCCACCCCCCAGGTCTCTGGAGGACTCAAGACAGCCTGCTGGCTGCTCCCTACCGCTGACTGAATCATTTCTATATTTGGCCATCGAGCCACGTGGGTGGGGGAACCACTGCGGCTGCACTTCTGACAGCTGTGGGGGGAGGGGAGATCAGGGGCAGGCTGCAGGGACTACAGAAGGCACCCTCCAAATGAGTAAGCCTGGAGAGGAGGCAGCGGCCTGCACTTCCCTCCCTCTCCTGCGCAGGTCCTGCCCTCTCCTCCTCATCCCTCCTCCTCACCCCCTTCCCTGGAAGCCCTTTCCTGCTGCTCCTCACCGTGGTCTTTTTTCCCACAGACCTGGTCAGCTCCGAGCCACTGCCTTGCAGAGACGATGGATGTCGCTAGACCCAGTTGGAATCCTGCCACGTGCCAGCGCACAGTTTAAAAGAAGGGCACCCTTTCAGCCCTGGCACCCCTTCCTGTCATGGCCACACTTGGCTGCTGCCCACTTCTCTGGGGACCCAGGGCGCCTAGCCCCAGCCCTGAGAGGATAAGTCAGGTCTTTTGGCTCCGTTCTCCAGGGGCCTTCCAGGCACCGGGTCCTTTTCAGAGCAAGAGCAACTGATGCCATGGGAGAAGCCTCTGCCCACCTGTCCACCCACCTCGCACTGCCCTCTCTGAGACCCACAGGCAGGGTCCCACTGGAGGTGCCAACCTTGTGAACCCTTCCCTGTCCCCCGACACCGAGAAGGCCCAGCCCACCCCTAACCATGTGTGAGGTGATGCCCACGATCAACGAGGGAGACCCTCTGGGCCCCCCTCATGGCGCCGACGCCGACGCCAACTTTGAGCAGCTGATGGTGAACATGCTGGATGAGCGAGAGAAGTTACTGGAGTCCCTCCGTGAGAGCCAGGAGACGCTGGCGGCCACGCAGAGCCGCCTCCAGGATGCCCTGCATGAGCGGGACCAGCTCCAGCGTCACCTTAACTCTGCCCTCCCCCAGGTAAGGCCAGCCATCCCTCCCCCACTCCACCATGCAGGGCTGAGCCCTGCGTCCTCAAGCCCTTCAGCTCTCAGGCATCAATTTACATATCAGTGATTGGCATTTACTCGCCTTGTCTCCAAACATTGCCTCAGCCCGGAGTTGGAGTATAAGATGATGTATTGGAGGCAGGAAAAACCCAGGCCGAGTGGTCAACTGCAGTGAGCCGGGTGACCAGCAGGTGGCAGCCTAGGCTGGAGAGAAAGCTCAGCTCAGCTGCTGCATTGAGGTTGGGGAAGAGGAATCTTAGAAGTGGAGATAAGAGAAGCCTTAGAGATTATCTAGTCAGGCTTCCTTATTGCACAGATGAAAAATCAGGAGGTGTCACGGCAGCAAATTACAGGCAGAGTTGCATCTAGAAACCAGGCATCTTGATACAGGTCATGCTCTTCAAAAACCCTCTTCCCTGGCAATCAGAAACCACTGATTGCCCTGTAGGAGAAGTAGAATTACCCATAGGATTTCCAGCACTATCTGGTGGCCTAATGGAAAGAAGCTGTGCTGCAATCCTGAAGGCAAGGGGTTCGGGACCATCTGCTGCTCTGCAGAAGAAGGATGGGCAACCTCCTCCCATGTGATTAACTGCTTCTGAAAGCCGGCCAGAGGGTCACCTATGGGTTGGTTCTGACTCTGTGGTACACAATAACAACAACAACAACATCCATCTTTGTGAAAGGAGCCCTGCTGGTGCTGTGGTTGAAGCTCTTGGTTACAAACTGAAAGATCAGTGGCTCGAACCTCCTATCTGCTCTGCAGGAGGAAAACATGGTGTACATGGTACCTGCTTCCGTGACGGTCTTGGAAACAGTATATGGCAGTTCTGCATTATCCTGTAGAGTTGCTATGGATCAAAATCAGTCTGACAGCTGTGGGTTGGACTTTGTAATCTTTCTCCCAAAGACTGTCTGGTGGGTTTAAAAGGCGACCTTACAGCTAGCCGAGATCCCTGGTGGCCTAGTCTAAAGGGAGCTGTGTTGCTAACCAACATTCAAGTGGTTCCTTCTTGGGAGAGAGATAAGCAGTGCTCCCCAGTGTGGTGTGCAGCCTCAGAAAGCCAGTGGAGGGCTGTCTATTAGTCAGCTCGGACTCGACTGCAGTGAATGAATGCTATTAGCCAGCCAACCTCCTAACAACTGTGCCACCAGAACTCTTAGCAATCATGTAAAACCAAAGAACAAACTCACTGTCATCCAGTTAATTTCTTCCTCATATGACCCTCCATTGGGTTTAGGAGGCTGTGAATCTTTGTGGGAAAGATTGCCATCTTTGTCCCATGGAGTAGATAATAGACCTTCAGCCTGTGTACCACTCTGCACTATTATTGTTGTTGTTAGGTGCCATCAAGGTGAGCATGACTCATAGTGACCCTGTGAACAAAAGATCTGAACCCTGTTCTAGCCTGCGCCATCCTCACCCTTCCTGATACACAAGAGCCCATTGCAGCAGTTACTGCATCATTCCACTTGGTTGAGGGTCTTCCTCTCCTTCGCCAACCCTCCAGCCTTCCCAGCATCATGTCTTTCTCAAAGGAATAGCATCTCCTAACAAAATGCCCAAAGTATGTGAGGTGAAGCCTCATCATTCTTGCCTCCAAAGAGCACTCCAGCTGCACCCTCTCTAAGACATATCTGTTTGTTCTCTTGGACATCCATGGGATGTTCAGTACTCTTCTCCAACACCACAGCTAAAAGGCATTGATTCTTTTTCTGTCATCCTTATTCATTGTCCAGCTTTCAGAGGCATAGCTAGGAAAGACTGTGGCCTGAATCAGATGCACCTCAGTATTCAAACTGACATCACTACTCCTCAGTAATTTGGAAAGATCCTTAACTGCAGATTTTCCCAGGGCAATGCATTTCCTTATTTCCTAACTGCTTGTACCAAGGGTGTTGTTAATTGTGGATCCAAACAAGATCAAGCTCTTGATAGTTTCAATCTTCTTTCCATCTGCTGCCTATCAGTCCAGTGGTAAGAATCTTCGTTTTCCTGACATTGAGATGTAATTAATACCAAAGGCTGCATTCCTTGATCTTCTGCAACATGTGCTTCAAGCCCTCCTCACTTTCAGCAAGCAAGTTTGTGTCATCTGCATGACGCAGGTTATTGATGAGTCTCCTCCAATCCTAATACTACACTCCTCCTCATAGAGTCCAGCTTCTCAGATAATTTGCTCAGCATACAGAGTGAATAAGTATGGAGAGAGAATACAACCCTGGTGCACTTGCTTCACAATTCTAAACCATGTAGAGCTCCCCAGCTCTGTTCACACAGCAGCCTCCTGGTCCAGGTATAGGTTCTGTATGAGCACAATCAAATGCTCTGGGATTCCCATTCTTCTCAATGTCAGCCACAACGTGCATAGTCAATAAAGCGCAAATAGACATTCTCCTGGTATTCTTTACTTTCAGCCAGAATCCATCTGACATCAGTAATGATACCTCTGGTGCCACAGCCTTTTCTAAATCCTGCTTGAACTTCTGGCAGTTCACTATCTATGTACTGTTCCAGTTGTTTTCTAATGATCTTCAGCAGTATTTTGCCTGCATGTCATATCAGTGATACTGTCGATGATTTCCACATTCATTTGGATCACGCTTCTTGGGAATAGGAACAAATATAGATATCTTCCAATCCATTGGCCAGACAGCTGTCCGTCAAATTTCCTGGCATAGACTGGTGAGTGCATACAAGGCTGCATCTTTTAATTGAAACAAGTCATTTTTATATCCCATCGATTCCTGGGGCCTTATTTTTTGCCAATGCCTTCAATGTAGCTTCCACTTCCTCCTTTATTACCCTTGGCTCCTTTTCATATGTTTCTGCTTGAAATTTTTCAGTGTCAATCAATACTTTCTGGTACAGTGACTGTGTATTCCCTCCATCTTCTTTTGATTCTTTCTGGGTCATTCATTATAGTTCCCATAGCATCTTTTAACATTGTGACATGGGGCTTAAATTTGTTTTTCAGTTCTTTCAGCTTGAGAAGTGCAGAGAAAATTCCTTTTTATTCTCCAATTCCAGTTCTCTGGACATTTCATTGTAAAATACTTTGCTTTGTTCTCCCAAGGTGCCCTTTGAAATCTTCTTTTTTTATTTTTTATTTTTGTGTGTGTGTACCATCAAATCAGATCTGACTGGTACAGGAGGAGATTGTCCCTTCTTCCCCGGCAGAGCATCTGGTGGATTTGAACCGAGCGCCTCTGGGATTGTAGTTGCAGCTGCTTGCCACTAGGCCACCAGAGCTCCCCCCTTTGAAATCTTCTGTTCAGCTTTTTCACTTCGACATGCTTTCCTTTGCAGAGTTGGTTCCAACTTTATGGTAATGAGGTGGGTTTGTGTTTTTGGTTTTGTTTTTGTTTTCTGAAATGTGGTAGGCAGTGTATTGAGATCACATTCCATGGATCACCTCTCTAAATTCTCACAGTAACTATGAAATTGATACTACCATCACCACCATCTGCATTTTATAATAAGCAGTGAAGTGAAAATTGGGAGGGATTAGTAAATTGCCAGGGCCCACCCATTTAGCAGATGGCAGAAGGAATGGAGCCCAGGTCTCCAGAGGCTGTATGTCTCACCTCCCTATGTTGGTGGGGGCTCTCTTGCTTCTTACTTATCACCCATTTGATGCTCACCCCAGAACAAGGTGCAGAAGAGAGCCAGAACTTGGGTTTTGGGGCCTGCTGTTTGTCAAAGAAGGCATGTGTATATGCTTCTGTAGCCAGGTGCTGGGCAGAGCAGGGGTGCAAGTCTGGCCACATTGTGCATGGTTCTGCACCCTCCACTGATGCCTTTCGGGTACTGTACACAGTGGACTGCGCAGCTAGTGTCAGGCAGCCCCCAGGAGCCAAACCGCCTGGTACTCAGCTCCTTTCCCTGTGTGTAGGGAGGAGTCAGGATTCAGCCTGCATCGGGGAGCATCCTTCCCAGAAGTGATGCGAGCAAAGACTTGTGATGCTTCATGGAGGAGAATGGGGACCCTGGTGAGGAATTGGGGTGCATGAGGCCCTGAACATGCTCCCACTCAATGAACCACTCACTCTCCCCAAGGAGCTGATAGACCATAAAGGGAATAAACAAGAACCCAAATGATGATAAGAGAATGAGGAGGAAGAGGAGAGGCCCCAAAGGATTGTTAAGCACAATGTCATTGATAAAAATAGCTGCCTTTGATGGACTTGTGCTAAGTGCTTTCTGTGTGTTGGCTCCCTTCCCTCCTCATAGGGATACACTTGATTTAGGACTTTGTCTCTGTTCTACAGATTAGAGAACTGAAGTTCAAAGAGATGGAGGAACATGCCCAAGGTCACACAGATAAGGGGGAAGGCAGAGCTGAAATTTGATGCAGGGCTTGTCTACCTGCCCAGATAGAAGCTTAGAGGACAGGGGGTTGTATCGTCTCGCTGCTGTAGCCCGCTCCTTCTCTTACTGCCATCCGGTCCGAACTGACTCATAGCTGACCCTTCAGAGGGGTTTCCAAGGCTGTAGATTGCGTTAGAGGAGGTTGTTCATCTTTCTCCTGGAGAGCGGCTGGTGGATTTGAACCTCCTGCCTTTAAGATGGCAGCGCAGCTCTTTACCCATTAGACCACAAAAGCTGTATCCTATGTTGTTGTTGTTGTTGTTACATGCTGTCGAGTCGTAGATGACTCATAGTGACCCTATGAAGGAAAGGCCTGAACACTTGTATAACTTTCGTTTCTTAAAGTTCATAGAGTTTCCAGAGGCAAGCTATTTCAGAAGTTGATGCCACTCCTGCTTCCAAGCTTGTTTTAATCGGGAAGCTCCACCGAATACTGTCTACCATGGGTAACCATTATCACATTTGACACATCTGTGTCACAGTGTTCAGCATCACAGCAGCCACGAGTTACCTCTGTAGAGAAAATGGACAGACCAGTGCTGTACCACTTGGAAGAATGTTTGACCAAAAATGATTAAAACCAGGCCTGAGGGTCACAGATTAAAATCACCCATCTTTGACTTGATAGCATAACTTTCTATTCATTAGGCCAACAGAGCTCTCTCTATGTTGTTGTTAAGTGCCATTGAGTCATAGATGACTCATAGTGCCCCTATGAACGTAAGACCTTGTACAACTTTCATCGTTTCTTCAAGTTCCTAGAGTTTCCAGAGGCAAACTCTTTTGGAAGAGGATGCCACTCCTGCTTTCAAGCTTGTTTTAATTGGGAAGCTCCACCAAACACTGTCCACCATGGGTAACCCTTATCGCATAGGGCCTAACAAATGGCTAGTTGTTAAGTGTTATCAATTTGGTTCTGATTCACCATGACCCTATAAACAACACAATGAAATGTGCCCAGTTCTGTGTCTTCCTCAGAGTTTCTGCTGTGTTTAAGCCCTCCTGACCACCCATGGCCTGCTTTGGAGTGATAGAAAAGGTTACTTTGGGAGTTCTTCCTCAGTCACAAGTCCTTTGTGTGTGAGGGAGATTCCAGGTGGGAAGCCATTGCAACATTCTTCACACTCAGACATGAGCATCAGTACAGGAGGGGTCACTCATCTGAAAAACTTCCTGGAATAAGGTCCTGCCTAAGGGGGATTTGGTGAGCCTTGGTCCGTGGGCATGCTCTCTGAGGGTCTCAGCCTGGAAGTGGGGTGTGTGTGGTCAGTAAAGCCAGGGCAGGTGGCATGGCATTAGGTGACAGGATGTGGCAGTGGCCAATGAGCAGGGCTCCTGGGAAGCCATGGCTGGTTATGTGACTGTGGGCAGGTTTATCTGTGCTTTTGCTCCCATGGAGATGGACCCCTCCGTCCACCAGCTGGCTCTTATATCTTGGATGACTTGAACTTGTAAAGCTCTGGTAAGGAACAGAAAAGAGCTCTCTGGGGCACAGATTCAGACTTTATCTTCGAAGCTCCCTTTTATTCCTCAAATCTTTCATTAGTTTCTATCTGGTGCCCTGGAGGTAAGGAGCCGCTCTGCCATCCCAAAGGCTTGTAGTTCAGATCTACCAGCTGCATCAAGGGGAAAAGCTATACAATCTCTTCCCGCTATGAGTTGGTTTTGGCTTGATGGCACACTACAAAAACAACAACCATGCCAAACCAAAAGCAGAGATTTCATTGACTTGCTGGGGAGACCAAAATGCAAGGTGGTTGTTGTCAGATCTGACCCATAGCTCACCCTCTGTCCAGTTTTCAGAAGTGGTTAGTTGCATAGTAGGAGATTGCCCATCCTTCTGAGGAGTAGCGGGCGGCCTCGAACTGTGTGCCTTAGGGATTGCAGAGCAGCTTCATAACACTAGGCTACCAGAGCTCCCTAGTCACAGTTGGGATAATTAAATAAAAATGGCCAGCAATACTAATCTGAGTGTCTGATTCAAAGTTGAAATTGGAGATATTTGGATTTGAAAACTGATTCTGTCAGAATGAAGGTCCCTAGAAGACCCTACCGACTGGGCTCTCGGCAAGAATGGTACACAGCCGCTGGGCATACCTGTCATGCAAGGTGGGGGAGAAGAAAAGAACCAGGCTGTGGGTGTGGCTGGAGGGGAGGGGCTGCGTGTCTTTCTCACTCTTGTATCCAAATCAATCCATGGTTCTCCAGTACATCTCCATAATACAGATAGATAGGGTCTTTATTTAAAAACATATTTCTTATTTTTTTTATTCATTGTTGCATGCTTTCTTCTCCCCCATCCCCCCTCCCTCAGCCCGCCCCAAAGGCACCCTTTTTTCCAGATTGTTCTTGTACATATAATGCATAATGATATATTCCTTTTGGACAGTTCTTCCCCATTATCTATTCACTCTTTTCTCATTCTCTCCCCCTTCCATGTCTGTCCTGTTTTATAACAGTGGTTTTATGCAGTATTTATCCTTTTGTGACTGAGATATTTCACTCATCAAAATGTCCTCCAGGCTCCTCCGTGTTGTATAATATTAGATAGGGACTTTTATGGAGTGAGGAAGGGGATCCCACCTCCAACTTTGTGGTACCAGACACTCCTTAGGGCATGAATCCTTATGCACTGAGGGGCTTTGGGATTTTTCAGGAATTTGCCACTTTAACCCGCGAGCTGAGCATGTGTCGGGAGCAGCTTCTAGAGCGGGAGGAGGAGATCTCAGAGCTGAAAGCAGAACGAAATAACACAAGGGTACGTGCAGATGGCCTGCTGCGTGCGTGTGAGGGCACACACATTGCTGCGGGCAGCCAGTGGGTCCGGCCATGAGTGACATTCTGGTTCTGTTGTGCATGGGTCCACCATGAGTTGAGGACCAACTCCACAGTTGATAACAACATGGGAGTATGTCAGCCTCGTAGGTGACCCTGGGGGCCCTGCCTATACCTCATGGGGTGCTTGCTTACGACTCGCCCTCCCTGCCCTGTTCCGTGCCAGCTGCTTCTGGAACACCTGGAGTGCCTGGTGTCTCGTCATGAACGGTCACTGCGGATGACGGTGGTGAAGCGCCAGGCCCAGTCACCTTCAGGGGTCTCCAGTGAGGTGGAGGTCCTGAAGGCCCTCAAGTCGCTGTTCGAGCACCACAAAGCCTTGGATGAGAAGGTACCCACTGCCCACCTCAGCCAGCCAGACTTCCCTGGACCTCCCAGAGTCCTTTCTCTGCCATCCCTATGTCTTGTGCTTAGGGAAGATGGCTCTCTAGCCTCGGAACTGGCTCCCGCCCACCGTTGGCCTCATTTGTGGTCCTCCTTCCAGGTTCCCTCCCTCTTGGAATGCCCTTTTTTTGCCTCATGCCCAAAGGCGGTAGACCAAGCCCAAGCCCCGCCAGCCTGAGTCCAGTGGGGTTCCCCTTTCTTCCTCCATCTCCCCTTACCTCGGGCAGGTGCGAGAGCGGCTCCGGGCAGCGCTGGAGCGAGTGAGCACGTTGGAGGAGCAGCTGGCAGGTGCCCACCAGCAGGTAAGCTCCCTCTACACCCTCTATCTGCAGACAAAATTTTTGGAGGCTCAGGCTGGTTTGTTTCTCTGCCTCACTCAGTTCCTCATCCTGTTTCTCCCACTATCTTGGCTGGAGACTGCTAGCCCAGGCTAGCAGGGTACCTCTGTCTGGGAGGTAGGAGGCTGAGAAGAGTCTAGGATAAGAGTTTCTCTTTCCTTTGACTCATTGTCTGGGGCCTGTGATCCACAGGTGTCTGCCCTGCAGCAGGGGGCAGGGGTGCGGGACGGAGCGCCAGAAGAAGAGGGGACTGTGGAGCTGGGGCCCAAACGTCTCTGGAAGGTGGGTGATGGGGCAGCTGCATCATAGAGGGCACCATTTTTCCAAGACAAGTGGGGGCCCTGACTTACTGGTTGCATTCAATTTGGGCCTTCTTCCAGTGTTTCCACTTGTCTTGTTTTCCTTCTACCATCTTGTCTGCAAATATGCCTATTGGGTTTTTTTTTAGTACCCAATACGACAACATGTTTGGTAGAGTGGAGGGACAGCGCAGGAGGGGAAGGCCCTCAATGAGGTGGATTGATTCAGTGACTGGGGTAATCGGGATGGGTGTGTCAGAGACGGTGTGATTGGCACAGGACAGAGCAGAATTTAGGGCTGTTGTACATAGGGTCGCTATGAGTCGCAGGCGACTCGACGGCACATAACAACAACAACAACCCAATATGCCATTAAAGCATGTAGCATGCATGCCCAGCTTGAATTACCAGGTGGCATCTATCTCATGTATCAGCCTCAGTCAAGACCTCTCTGTCTGAGCCTTTGTTCTCTTTCTGGATTATGAAAGGCTGGCATAGTGGGTAAAATTAGGGAAGCGTGGTGCTGTCTTCCATGAAGAGTTGTGCTGCTAACCTGAAGGTGGGGTCTCTCTGGTGGCTGCAATCCATCAGTGATTCTGTGAGAGAAATATGGGTGATCTCCTCCCATGAGATTTACTGCCTCTCAAAAATCTACTGGAAGGTCGCTTCCGACTTGACAGCAATGAATTGAGTGACGTTGAGTTAGAGTGAGTGAAGTTAGGAATTACTATTTTTCAAGAGATAGACAGGAAAATAATAAGAGTGTTTGCCATTGTTTTGTGTGAACTGTGTGCACGCAGGAAGGAATGGTTGCCTGGTAGTGTGCCGTGATAGGGGACAGGACTGTGACCCACTTTGAGAATGTTCTCCTTGCTCCCATCTCCCCCGGGCTGGACAGTGGGGTGGGGTACCCTGGGTCCAGTGGTTGATGGTGGCTCACTGTCCCTGGAGGAGGATGCCGGCCGGGTTGAGGAGCTACAGGAACTTCTGGAGAAGCAGAACTTTGAGCTGAGCCAGACCCGGGAGCGACTGGTCACCCTGACAGCAACTGTGACTGAATTAGAGGAGGACCTGGGTACGGCCCGCCGGGACCTCATCAAGTCTGAGGAGCTGAGCAGCAAGCATCAGCGGGACCTCCGTGAGGTGAGCAAGGACCCAGTCTGCATGTGGTGGCCTCACCTCCTGAGCGCTGGGCGTTTGGCAGCCAGGAGGGCAGCTGCATGGGCACCCTGGTGTGGAGGGCACTCAGGCAGGGCTGGAAGTGTTAGAGTGAACACTTGATGAGGTCCAGGGTCTGAAGGGAAGCCCTTGGGTGGCTCAGACAGTTGAACGCTTAACTATTTGGTAAAAAGTTGCTGGTTAGAAATCACCCAGAGAGCCTTTGGAAGATATACCTGCCCGTCTAAAAGATCTTAACCAGAATGAGAGAAACAGAATACCCAGATGGTTCTTGCTGCCCTTTTCGTGCCAATACTGTAAGTTCTTCCTGCAGTCTGGCGAGGTGGGTACTGCTACTGCCCTCATGTCACAAGCCTCTTGGAACGTGACACTTCATTAGATTGTGCCATTATCCTAGTGCCAGGAAGCTTGCTACAGAACAGGGAGGCTGAGCTGCTTTCTTTCATCCTTATTGTCTTTAACCTCTCCTTGAACATAGCATTCCCAGCAGAGCCCAGGGCACATTCCCTGTACCTTTGACTTGATCACCAGCAGAAATCACAGATGATGGTGTCATAGCTATCTTGATACTTTCATTACACCCACCACTACTAGGAAATCTCAGTTCTTCAGCCTACCCATGGCATTTACTATTTAATGTGGCAATAAAACACAATATTCTAAAATACTGTAAATTGAAAAAAATATAAAAGATCTTAACCTTAAAAATCCTGTGGAGCAGTTCTGCTTTGCACGTATGGGGTCAATATGAGTCACAATCACCTCAACAATTAACAACCACACAAGGGAGAGAGGAATAAGAGGGGTGAGCTAAGGACTCATCAGGAGAGCATGGAGAAGAGACAAGTACTCATGGGAGGCACAACCAAGTATGTCTCAGAGAAGGCGCAGTCACAGTCCTCCTTAGAGGGAAGCGTGGTGAAACTTCATCTCACATACTTTGGGCATGTGGTGAGAAGCAGCCAGTCCTTGGAGGAGGACATGAAGCTTGGAAGGGTGGAGGGTCAGCGAAAGAGAGGAAGACCCTCAACGAGTTGGCTTGGCATAGTGGCTGGATGAGTAGGCTTGAGTACAGCAGGGATGATGAGGATAGCACAGCATAGGGTTCAGGTCTCCTGTTCATAGAGTCACTGTAAGTTGTGGTTGACTTGATGGCACCTAACAACAACAACAATAGGATGGCAGCAGTCTCCTTCTTTCCCACCCAGGCTCTGGCCCAGAAGGAGGACATGGAGGAGCGGATCACCACACTGGAGAAGCGCTACCTGGCTGCTCAGCGAGAGGCCACATCTATCCATGACCTCAATGACAAGTTGGAGAATGAGCTCGCCAATAAGGAATCCCTCCACCGGCAGGTAACTTCAAGGTGGGGAGGGATCCAGTATTATGCTTGACCCTAGAGGTCCTGACAGGTGTGCTGGGACCTTCCCTTAGTGGCTCAGGAGTTTCTGGGTCCTGCAGGCAATCTTGGGAAAGGAGAAGCATCATTCGGGGTGAGTGGGGCATCTTGGGAAGCTCAGATCTAAGGTGGACCTTTACTGTTTCTGACTCAGCACCTGCTCTCTGCAGGCTGGGGTTGAGGCAAGGGATGGGAGGAGGAAAGAGTTTCAGTCTTCTTTCTGGAATCACTTCCCATGCCTCTACTTTCCTAGTGTGAGGAAAAGGCCCGGCACCTACAGGAACTGCTGGAAGTGGCTGAGCAGAAGCTGCAGCAGACTATGCGGAAGGCAGAGACACTGCCGGAGGTGGAGGCTGAGCTGGCCCAGAGAATTGCAGCCCTCACCAAGGCAAGTGGGCCAGGGATTGGGGCAGCTCTTTCCCCACCTGCTGTTCTATGGTTGGGAGAGTGTGGAAGGCAAACTGGATGTAGAGAAAATCCCGTCTCATAGTGTGACCTCAGGACACACACTTCATTGTGGATATCAGTTAAGAAAAGTGATCCCTGCCCTTATCGTCCTGCAGAGGTATGATGATCACCGAAGAAGGTGTATACAGTCACTTTCAGGGCATTGTTGTGGAAGCTACCTCTTTTGAGTACCTTTTATATCATTGTGGTTCATGATGTCTTTTGTTTGGGGGTAGAGTAGAAAGAATAAAACGTTTGTCTCTGAAAAGATAGACTCTTGAGAAGAGATATGATCAGAGTCACTACATCCTGGAGTTTACACTGAGCTCATCCTTCCTTATTGAATGGAAGCAGTCTAGATTTAGATAACACCCCTGGTTGCTTAAAGGCTGCAGTAGAGAGTAAAGTTATTGGTTTGGCTTTGTTTTTTAAATTGTGATTTTAAAAAAAGATTTACAGAGAAGTTAGGTTTTCATTAACAATCTAATTCATTGCTCGTGGGAATGTAAAGTGGTACAATCACTGTAGAGCACAGTCTGTCACTTTCTTTAAAAAAAGTGGGAATTAGAAATACCATTTGACCCAGCAATTTCACTTCTGGGAATATGCCCTAAATAAACCAGAGCTGTGATTCAAACAGATGTATGCACACCCACGTTGTTCATAATAGCAAAGAGAAAGAAGCAGCCCAAGTGCCAGTCAACAAATGAATGGATAGGAAAACTCTGGTACATCCACACAATGGAATATTATACAGCGTTGAAAAACAGTTAACTCATAAAACACTACACAACATGATTGAGCCTGGAGGACATTATGCTGCATGAAATATCTCAGTCACCCCAGTTACTGTTGAGTTGACTCTGACTCGTGACCCCGTTTGTGTTGGAGTATAGCTGTGCTCCACAGGGGTTTTGGTGGTTGGTTTTTCAGAAGTTGATCACCTGACCTGTCTTATGAGGCACCCCTGGATGGAATGGAGCCTTCAGTCCTTTGACTGGGAGCAGAGTATATGTAATAATTTGGATCACAGGAGAAATGAAAGGGGATATAGTTTTATTCTAATGAATAGAAAACTTTATGGGATGCTAAGTCCTAAAAGTTGTACAGGCTGAAAAAGAATAGGTTCTAGAGGAGTTAGGTCAATACACGGACAGAGATTTGCAGTGTGTTAATCAGGAGAATTTAGGAGTGGTTGCCCTGGGCTAGAGGCTTTCAGGAGGGTTTACTGTAGCTCCCCTCAGCCCAGGTATGCGAGGAACCCCGATTAGTCAGCACCAGGCCAAGAAATCAAAAGATGAATTTCACTGGGCAAATCTGCTGCCAAAGACCTTTTTAAAGTGCTAAAGAACAAAGATGCTACTTTAAAGACTAAGGTACGCCTTGACCCTGTTTGTTGTTGTTGTGTGCCGTCAGAATGGACCCATTGCTTACCCTCCAGTGGGTTTTCAGAAGCAGTTAATTGCATGAGAACAAATGACCCATCCTTTTCCTGCAGAGCAGCTGGTGGATTCAAACCCTGTCCCTTTGAGATCACAGTGCAGCTTCTTACCACTCGGCCATCAGAGCTCCCCTTGACCCTACCCATGATATTTTTCAATTGTTTCACGTGTGTGAGAAAGTTGGACAAGGAATAAGAACAGAGAACTGATGCCTTTAAATTGTGGTGTTGGCGAAGACTATTGAATTTCCCGTGGGCTGCTCAAAGAACAATCACGAATCTATCTTGGACGAAGTGTAGCCAGAGTCCTTAAAAATAAGGATGGTGAGATTTCTCGCATACTTTGAACATGTTATCAGCTGGAGCCAGTTCTTAGAGAAGGGCACCATGGTTGGGAAAAGTAAAAGGTCAGAGAAAGCAAAGAAGACCTTCAATAAGATAGGTTGACTCAGTGATTGAAACAGTAGGCACAAACAAAGATGATGAGGATGGCACAGAATTGCTAGAAAAGCAGGGTATCATTCTGCGGTCATGGAGTCTCTGGGAGTCAACAGCTGACTTGGCAGCACTTCTCAACAGTAACAGGCCCCTGAGCACAGAGGCTGACAGTGTGGTGGTGTGGGTGCTCCAGGGGTTGAACCCACAGCCTGCCTGTCCTTCAGTAGACTTATGACAAAGCCTGATTTTGCCACTGTGTGGCTCTGCGGCCTTGGAAAAGCCACCTCTCCCCTGACTTTACTTTAGTGTTCTCTCCATCATGACGTGTCTCTAAGGTCCTTCCAGAGAGTTCTGGTATCACAGTGGCTAAACATTTGATGGATTGAACTCATCATTTGGCACATAACCTGGTGACCCGCTCCGGTAAATATCTCCACTTTGGAAACTCTCAGGGCAGCTGCACTTCGGTCACTATGAGTTGAAATTGACTTGATGACGCAAAACAGTGAAATATTCATAGTGTTTCAGCATGAAGGGCCAGGTTTGAATCAAAGCAGAGGATGTGTGTGGGATGCTGAACAGTCAGCCTTGGAGTCTCCCAAATCCTGACAAGGGGTGGGCTGGAGTGAGTAACATCCAAGTGAGTCGTAGCAGGGGCATTTGAAGGAAGAGTTTTCTGATTCTAAGATGCGTGACACTGAGTACCTTGTCAGTGGAGACGGTGGGGTCTTGTCTCAGGAGGTACGTGGAAGAAAAGAGAGACCTCTCAATCTGGGCTGGTTTAATAGCAGCAGCATCATGGCTAACTCAGGCTGTTAGCAGATCAAAGCTCAACAGTGGTTCTGAAGAGAAAAGACCTGACAGTCTGTTCCCATGATTTGCATGCTTGAAAACTCTTTGAGAAGAACTCTCTGTTCTTTTATGTAGGGTTTTGATGAGTCAGAATCAACTCGGCAGCACACAACAATAACAAACATGGTTGTGTGGTGCTTGTGTTGTAAATGTTTTTGATAGACTATCTCATTTTGTGTTCTCCGTGGTCCAGTGGGCCTGGGGGCTTTTATTATCCACATTTAAGGCTGGGTAAACAAATTTCAGCAATTTGCCCAAGGTTTGCACAATTGGTAAGAGAGAAAGCTAGGATTTGAACCGTGGCAGTCTGGCTTGAGTCCATACTCTTAAGCACATTTGCATTTCCTTGGAGCTATAGGAGAGATTCGTGGTAGTTCATGAAGGAGAGTTGTTTTGTTTTTACCTGCTCTCCTGGGAAGCATGGGGAGACTTTGTGGTTTCTTGAGCTGCACGTGCCAAAATACTTCAAGACTAACCTCACTAGGAAGGAGGGTGCATGGGGAGGTAAGCCGGGGTGACGGCAGCTCTGGTCCAAAATGACAGGTGGTGGGCTGGGCTGCTTTGTACCTGAGACACTGATGTTTAAGACCATATGTACAGCAGGGCAGGCAGGTGTGAGGCCTGAGCAGGAGCCAAGGGAGATAAAGAGCTATCTCTGGCCCACCTTTGCCCCTAGGCTGAAGAACGGCATGGCAACATTGAGGAGCACCTGAGGCAGCTGGAGGGGCAGCTGGAGGAGAAGAACCAGGAGCTGGCACGGGTGAGGGTGGTTCTTCACTGGGATATGGAAGGCTGGGGCGTGGAGACGAGGGGTCTGGCAAGGGCAAGTTAATGAACGGAGGTGGAGGTGGTTGGGAGTGTTGGAGGGAAAGGTGGCCCCCCCTCCTCGCTGGTGGATGGGTTGAAGAGCCCCCAGCGGGCTTGGGTGGCTGGCTTCTGGGCAGGGCTGGGAGAAGTTAAGGCCCTGTGTGTGAAGTGGTGCGAGACGCGCTGGCTGTGCAGGTGCGCCAGCGGGAGAAGATGAATGAGGACCACAACAAGCGGCTGTCAGACACGGTGGACCGGCTGCTTAGCGAGTCCAACGAGCGCCTGCAGCTCCATCTGAAGGAGCGCATGGCTGCCTTGGAGGAAAAGGTGCCCAGTGCTGGGGCCTGGTGGGCGGGGCTCCGGGGAGGGGGCGGAGCTGGGCTGGGAGAGGCTGGCCTGGTAGGCGGGGCCAACGCAAGCCTGGGGCTGAGGCGACTGTTCGGATGGAGCATTCATTGCAGGAAAGATGTAGACTCGAGGCAGAGGAGGGCATGGATGGGGTTGGGAGTGGGGATGGACGAGTGGACCGAGAGGGTCAGGTCCGGGCTAGGGAGAGGTATGAGCCTGAGAGCAATAGAGGGGTCGTGGACCCTGGCTCACCGCTGTTCGCCCCCAGAACACGCTGATCCAGGAGTTGGAGAGCTCCCAGCGGCAGATTGAAGAGCAGCACCACCACAAGGTATCCAGCTGCTGGCCAGCCCCGCCCGGGGAGGGGGGAGGGAAGGACTGAGAAGCACCAGAACGTGCTTTTGAGCGAATGCTGTTAACATCCTACATTGCGTCAATACGCTAATAACAACAGCAACTCAGTGCCTTCAACATGGAATTCATTCGTAACTGACCCACCAACGTGTTTTCAGAGGCTATAAATTGCACGGAAAGAGACTGCTCATCTTTCTCCCATGGAGCAACTGGGTGGATTCGAACCACTTGCCTTTAGGTTGGCAGTTCAGTTCTTTACCAGTAGACCACCACTAAATACTCGATTTCAACCAATTCCCACCCTAGCCCTTCAGGGTAGGTCCATACCTTGCCCACAAATAAAGGAGAAAACAAGACCATAGGCTCAGTCTATAGGGTAGTGATGGCAGCAAAGAGGTAAGACTCAGTAGAGGATGCAATGAAAGGATTTGGTGGTAAAGCTAGAGACCTGGAGGAGTAGCCACGGTCCCTGCCATAGCAATATATGTGAGGTCTGGGGGCACACTGGGACCCCTCCACTGCTCAGCCCTGTTTACTGTGCCGCTGCATGGCAGTGAGCAGGCCTTTTCCAGCACTGTCCATTCCTAGACAGGCCTCATTTGGGGCTCTGCCGCTCTGCTCCTCTGCATACTCTCCAGTCGGATCTCTTCTCTTTGATGTCATCTGTGGGCCTGATCTGGGGCCCCTGGCTTTGGACTTTGCAGTACATTCTTCTGCTTCTCCCTAGCTCTGCCGTCCTCTTTGCCCCTCTCTGACGCCCACTCTCCCTCTCTGCCCCTCCCTGGCCCCCATCCCTCACCCTGGGTCTACCTGGCACAGGGCCGCCTGTCTGAAGAGATTGAGAAGCTGCGCCAAGAGGTGGACCAGCTGAAGGGTCGAGGGGGGCCGTTTGTGGATGGCATCCACTCCAGGTACTGGAGCATGGGAGGCTGGGCGTGCTGGGATGGGGTCCTGGATGGACCCTGGGGAAGGAGACTTCCCTCCACCAAAAAGACCGCCCAGGACCTTAGGGTCCTCCTCCTATTCAGGGTGGGACAGCAAAAGGCTCAGAGAACTTGCCCGGTTCACATGGGCACCTGTTTAGAAGGGAGTGCCTGTCCTCAAAGGGATGCTGAGAGGCAGGTAAAGTGGACGATGCTGCTTCCTGGAGCCGTGGGACACAGACCATGCTTCCTTGACAGCAGGCATGCTGTGGACAGTAGTCTGCTGGGTTGTGTGTTCACCCATGTTCCATGGGGCCCCATGAAGGAGAGCTCCGCTCGCTCTTGCTCTTTGGCGATACCATCTTTAGGCCTCAAGAAGATTCCTGTTTGAGAGTTTAGGACCACCCCAATTCACATAGCAAATAGTGGTCAGAGAGACAGCAGAAGAGATTGAAATGAGATATCAAGAGCTTTTGGAAGTTGAGATAACCTGGAATCTTCCCCCCCCCAACTAAACACCATTTTAAGATATGACGAATGGAGCTTTTCACCTTGAATTAGGCTCATGTTTTAGGCAACTTCCAGATACCCCCTGCCCCATTTTGTGAAGCTGTTGACTTTGTATTCTGACTTCAAATCACCCTCAGGTTACGTGGACAGAATAGGTGAATGCCGCTTAAGGTTGATGGCTCCTTGGTCTCTTAGATCGGAACCCTCATTTCCCCCTTAGTTATGTTCTTATTGTATCCAATATGACAGAATTCAGCTGCCATAGGAGGCAGAATAAAGGAAATTTGTGATTATGTGTAGGGTTTGGAGAGACTTAGCGCTTGAATGCCTTCAAGCTGTGGTGCTGGAGAAGAATGTTGACTGCTAGGAGAACAAACAACTTTGTCCCGGAGAGGGTGAAACAATGCTGCTCCTTGGAAGCAAGGATTCTGAAGCTTTGTCTGACATACTTGAGGCTTGTTGTAAGGAGGGACCAGTCCTTGGAGAGGAACATCATGTTTGGAAGGGTGGAGGGACAGCACAGGAGAGGAAGACCCTTGATGAGATGGATTGATTCAGTGGTTGGAGTAATGAGAGTAGGTGTGTCAGAGGCAGTGCGATTGGTACAGGACAGAGCAGAGTTTAGGGCAGTTGTACATAGGGTGGCTATGAGTAGCAAGCGACTCGACGGCACGTAACAACAACAACAACAACAACAGTGCTTGAATTAGGGAGATGGACATTGACTTATGAATGTCTTGAGTGGCCCTCCAGACTTAAATACTATCTTCAAGTTCATCAGAGATTATTGTAGAGGACAAGAAGAAGCAGGGCATTGAGGCAGTCTCCTCTATCTCCCTTCCTGTAGGTCGTTCAGAATGGATCAAGCCCATAGTTTAATAAGACACAACACACACACACACACACACACACACACCCTGCCCCCGAGTACACCAACCCATTTGTCACACCTTGCTTGTTTTAACCGTTGGGAATTCTTTCCTGGCTTTGCCCACTGGGCCCATGTGGGAATGTGGACTGAGCTGCAGAGGAGGAGAGGAGAGAAGCAAGAATCCCTTTCTCTCCAGCTTTCTCATAGGCCCACCCTATCCCTTTGTCCTTCCTTCAAAAGGATCTCATGCTCAGAAGGGATAGTGAAAAAGTGTCACTAGGAGATACTTTCAGATATTCCAGAGGATCTCAGGGCTGGAATAGACCTTTGGGGAAGCCAAAATACTTTCCCCCTTCATGTCTCTGATATAGTTTCAGGACATCTGGAATGTCCTGGGGATGAATTCAGGCAGGGCCTGTCTATAGATTATAGGGAGACTCAAGAAAAATGACAGAGGAGAAATCCAAGCAAGCCACTCTGTTTAAAAGAACCTTCTGAGGACATCCCTTACGACTCACTGACTGTCAGGAGCCCTTCTGCGCTGTTCCAGTCAGATGACCAGAAAGCCTCTGAAGGAGGAACTCACTTTTTTCAAAGTAGCCAGTTATATCGTAGACCAATACTTGCTTTTAGAATGTCTTCCATATACTAAATGGGAAGCTGCTTCTCTAGAACTTTCTCCCCTGAGCCATCCTGATCCCTGGAGTAATGGAATAAGCTTACTCTCGCTTAAGTGGCAGCCCTTCAGGCATTTATAACAACCCTCTATACTGCTAAGTCTTCTCTTCTTCAAACTGAAGCTCCCTTAGCTCTTTGGGCCGAGTGGCCGTGAGCAGGGGCTCTCTGTCCTCAGGGGCTGCCTTTTCTCTCGCCCCCACCACACAAGGTCACACATGGGCAGTGCAGCGGACGTGCGGTTCTCCTTGGCCACAGCCACCCACACGGCCCCCAGTCTGCATCGCCGCTACTCCGTGCTGCGGGACGAGCCTGCCAAGGTGAGAGGGTGGACATGTGAGTGGGAGGATGGCCTCCTGGAGGGTTTGGGGTCAGCCTGGCCATGTGCCTGGCTCCAGTTACACAGACGGCTGGCGTGCGGTGCAAATCCTTCCCCCTGTCCACTCCTGTGTCGACAACAGCTGCAACCCTGGGGTTGGGGCCATCGTCAGCTGCAACAGCTGTGCCCCCCCTCCCCCCACCCCCGCCCTTGCCTCCTGGTGGGCAAGAGGTGGGGGCTGGCAGGCGGCCATTCGGTCCCCAAGGCCCCACAGAAGCGTGTGTGCGTGTGCCTGGGTGTGCAGGCGTGTGTTTCGGGTGGTTGGGGCACAGTGGGGGTGGGCAGGGGTGAGATGAAATTGGCAAGCTTTCTGGAACAAAAGCTGCGGTTTATGGGGAAGATGAGGAAGGGATGACAGCTTCACTGGGCCCTAGGGATGGCACCTGGAGTTTGCTAAGAAGCAGCTGAGCATTCGTGCTGTCTGAGGTGGCCTCGGGAGGTTCTGGGGGAACCAGGAAAGATCAAGGGAGGAAAAGGACCAACCTTAGCCTTTCTGGGTAGTCTGGTTCCTATCTGGCCCCAGGACTGTTCACCATGTTATAACCCAAGCCCAGATCTTCTCCATGCTCTGGGCACAAGAAGACAGAAACAGAGGAGGGAGCACCTGGTCTGATGGAGGGAGCTTCATCTCTGCTACTCTTCCAATCTGAAGAGCGGAGTGGGGGGGCAGTCATTTTTTTCTCCCTCTCCCTTCCTCTCTTTACCCTATTCTCCTAATAAGAGCACAGCAGCTGCAAAGGAGCTCAGACTAAAGGCTGCTAGAGCCAGGGGAAAAAACCCTCACAGGGTCTTGGGGATTAGGGATGGAGTTAGAGCCCCTCTAAATCCCTGGCCCTCTTCCTTTACACTCCCCTGAGCTTCTGGCTTTGCCTCCCTCTCTCTTTTGGCCCTTTCCTTCTGCACTGGATTATGGGATGATTGTGGAGGAACTCCCCCTTGTCAGGGTTGACCAGCCAGCGCTGTGATGTGCTGAAACTTGGGGAGACAAAAGACAGTCAAACCTGCGTGGCCTTTTCTTGTTCCCTGATTCTAGTCACCCTCTTTGGGGTTTTATGGATAGAAATTGATAGCATTTACATTGTATGTAACTTTGGACCAGATGCTGTGTTAAGTCATTGACATGAACTTCCTTATTTAATCCTCACCACTGCCTTTGAGGCAGGGACTATTCCTGTCCCCATTTGACATGTGAAGGAGCTGAGGCAGAGAGATGAAGCAGCTTTCACGTGCTTGTGTGGCCGGTGTGCAGTAGAGCCAGGCTTCAAATCAAGGCAGTGTTTCTTGAGAATTGGTGTTCGCAACAGCCACTCAATCTAACTTTTAAAAGTAGTTAGAGAATGATTTCTTAAACTTAAATGTACAAATAGATTCTGAAGATCAGGTGCAAATAGTGGAACTTGAGATTGTGCATTTCTAACAAGCTCTTGGGAGATGAGAGTGTAGCCGGGCGTAGGATGACCACACGATGAATAGACCACAGTTAAGAGCCTGTTTAGTGGAGGATGGTACTGGTCCTCATCTATCTGAGCTGTCATTAATTCCCCATTGTCCTCTTCTGTGCTAAGGACTGGGAGCCATCTCCACTGCCTGGGGTGCTGGCCCCCAAGGCCACCCCTGCCTTTGACAGTGACCCCGAGATCTCGGACGTGGATGAGGATGAGCCAGGGGGGCTGGTGGGCTCCGTGGATGTTGCCTCCCCCAGCAGCCACTCTGATGCCCAGACTCTGGCCATGATGCTTCAGGAGCAGCTGGATGCCATCAATGAGGAGATCAGGTGACAGAGCAGATGGGAACCCTGGAGGTACACTGAAGAGTGGGACCACTTTGTGTTTGGGCATACCTATCTTGGCGCTGGCACTGAATTTCAGGGGAGAAGCAGCTTTTTACTTGTACTGTCTTTTGTTGCATTTTCAGTGTTGGGTTCTGTGTGGAGTGTCAGGTAATGGCTGGCCTGAGTGGTCCTGGGACCTCAAACTGTCTTGTCAGGCTTTATTGTGCCTTCCAGGTCTGGTCTTTGTAACTGGGCTGAGAAGACTAGAGGCCATGTTCCTGCAGCCCCTACTGCTATCATAGTCACAACCAGCACAGGTCCCACTCAGTGAGTCCAGCTCATGGCTAGAGCACTATATTACTGTTAATCTCATCATGGCCCCTGAGGTCGACACTATTATCTCCATGCTACAGACAAGGGAGGAGAAACTACAAGGTCTTAAGTGACTTGCCGATGCCCACACACTTAAAAAGAGGTAGAGCCAGAGTTTGTTTTTCTGAGCTGAAGTCAGCCCACTGTGCCCTGCTTCCTGTTCCCAGTGAGGTATCAGACAGAAGCCAGTGATCGTTAAAGTTGTCAAAACCACCCTATCCTGTCTCTGTAGATAATTTAGTAATGGTAATGGCAACTAGCAGAGGGAAGTCAGAGCATGTCAGAGCTTGACACGTTCGTGAGGTTGTCTGGTTCAGTGATTTCCAAGCTTTCACAAATTATTGTTGTTATTATGTGCCATTGAGTCTCCTGTGACTTATAGTGACCCTGTGTACATTAGCTCTGAAACCTGCCCTATCCTGCACCAATCTCATCCTCTCCAACAGGTCTAATCCCATTGCTCCGGTCACAGAGTCAATCCATCTCATCCTGGGTCTTCCTGTTCGGCCTAGTCTCTCTACCCTTCCTAGCAGACGCCCCTCTCAAGGACCAACCCCTCCTTTTGCAGATTAGTAGGGGTGATATTGATAATAGAAGGTGGCCAATTTTTCATTTTACAAAGTAAAAGCATTAATGATAACCATCGTTTTACTATCATAGCTGTAAAAGTAATACTGTGAAAGAAAGAGCATGCTAAAGAAAGGTACATTAGTTAAGCTTTCAGCTTCTAATTCAAAGGTCAGCAGTTTGAGCCTGCCAGTGCTGTGCAAGAGAAAGATGTGATGATCCGCTTGAGTAAAAATTGCTGCCTGGGGAAGCCCTGTGGGGGCAGTTCTCCTCTGTCCTCTTGGGTCACCGTGCGTCGAGTTGGCTTGGTGGCACACAGCAGCAGAGTAGGAAAGGCACACTTTCAGAGTGAAAATGAGTCCTTTCTCAGCAACAGCTGGCATCTTGCCGTCACCATCAGCATATATGTTCGTGTGCACATATGCATGGGTGAATGTGTATAGATTGTTAGTTAAATGCAGAAGACCAGAGAGCCCACAACTGACTGTTAATTAAATCACACCAGGAGTATGTTGTGTTAATTAAACATACACTTGAGTGTGTATAAATACACCCCCCACCCCCCCCAGACATGTGTAAATTCATATATACTTATAATTTTTCTAATTTTTCCATGGAACGGAAAACTCCATCAGGGTCAACTTCAATTAAATGTCTTGTGTTTGGAAGCTACTGATTTCAGCAACTCTTGGCATTGTATGGAGTCCCTGGGTGATGCACTTAACATACTTAAATGTTTACCAAAAGATCATAGGTTCTAGTCTATCCAAAGGCACATTGGAAGAAAGGCCTTGAAATCTCCATTGGAAAAATCAGTCATTGAACATCTCATGAAACCCAGTGCTGCTCTGACACACATTGTTGCTATGAGTCAAAATCAACTCAGTAGCAACTGATGCCTTAACATCGTATTGAGAAACTGAGGTCCAGAGGGCAAGGTGTCCGCCTGACTCAGGGCCTCCCCTGGATATTAGGAGTTCTGGTGTCCTGAGGGGAGAGCTCTAACGCACTGGCTAAAATTTCCAGCAGTTGGTTTTGTTTGTTTGTTTGTTTGTTTAAGCAGAAGGAAGGCCAGTGAGAGAGAGAGGGAGAAAAAGTCCTTTTCCAAGCTATTCTAACCGAGGCAGGATAGGGCCACCTGTGGCTGTCAGGCCCTGCCTCTCCATGCAGTGCCAGGCCCTGTGGGGTGCCCCAGGCATTGTCTGGACTGGTGGTGAGATCTGACTTTGCACACTCCCAGGATGATCCAGGAAGAGAAGGAGTCCACTGAGCTCCGTGCTGAGGAGATTGAGACGCGTGTGACCAGCGGCAGCATGGAGGCCCTGAACCTGACGCAGCTGCGCAAGCGCGGGTCCATCCCCACCTCCCTGACTGCCCTGTCCCTGGCCAGTGCATCGCCCCCGCTCAGCGGCCGCTCCACACCGAAGCTTACCTCCCGAAGTGCCGCCCAGGACCTGGACCGAATGGGGGTCATGACCCTGGTGAGGCTCTCTGGGTCTTTGACAGGCAACTCTTCCCATCAGTGCTGGGGTCAGGGGGCTGACCAGGGGAAGTTTCTGGATAGGAGAGCTCCTGCTGCCTTAACTGGGCCTGGCTTCTCCTTCCCATGGCGGGTGCAGCTCCTGGGATACCAGCCCCTCACATGAACTTCTGGGAATGGGAGGTCCTGGGAGTATCTTCCTGCTGCCTTGGATGAGCATGGCGCTCTTACGAAACTCAGTTGTCCGAAACTCAGCTGTCCGCACCTCTTCCTTTCTAACTGCGATAGCCCCACCTTACCTTTCAGAGCACTGAAATTCCTGTAGTGTTCTCTCTGAGTTTGCATGAGGCCTCAAGGACCTCAGCAATGCCAGGGGGGCCTGGGCAGGACACTCACCCCAGTATCCCCATTGTAAGGCAGTTGGGCACCCCGAAGGGTTGGCCGAGGGCACTCAGGAGGTGAGCAGAGCTTCCCCTTCCCTCTCTCTTCCAGCCCAGTGACTTAAGGAAGCATAGGAGGAAGCTGCTGGTGAGTGCTGCCTGATGGCCCAGGTACTAATGGGTTCACTGGCCCCAACCCCTTCCCTTATGGCCTCTTCCCTGATCCTGAGTCTGAACTCAGGGAGGCCCCTGGGCTCCCCACTGAATCTCTCCACACCCACGCCTCGTCCAGTAGGGTCGGCAGGCCCCATTCTCTCCATGTCCCTGTGATTCATCTGGTGGGGTAGGCAGGCCCCATCTCTCCCTCTATCCCCTGACGGATGGCTCCACTGTCTATTCAGTCGCCAGTGTCTCGGGAAGAGAACCGAGAGGATAAAGCCACCATAAAATGTGAGACTTCTCCTCCTTCCTCACCCAGGACACTGCGGCTAGAGAAGCTTGGTCACCCAGCCCTGAGCCAGGAGGAAGGCAAGAGGTAGGTGGAGCAGGTCTCCGCTTCAATCTCTCCTTCCCTCACATCATCTCAGCCCTCCTGTGCCTCTAAACGACCACATTCACCTGGCCTCAGTGCCTGAGCATCCCACGTCTCTGTGACGCATCACCCTGGAAGGATATTCCCATGCCTCCCTACTCTGAGTTCTTCCTAATGTCTAACTTCGGTCTCTCCTGCTGTAACTGAAATCTGTTTCTTCTCACTCCACCCGCTCCTGGCTGTCATCCTTTCAGTTCCTTGGAGGATCAGGGCAGCAACCCCAGCAGCAGCAACAGCAGCCAGGACTCCTTACACAAGGGCGCCAAGCGCAAGGGCATCAAGTCGTCCATCGGCCGCCTGTTTGGGAAGAAGGAGAAGGGCAGGCTGATCCAGCTGAGTCGGGATGGAGCCACGGGCCATGGTCTCTGTCCTCCTCTTAACCCAGGGTCTTGGGGTAGTGGGGTGACAAGTGGACAGTATCCTTGGGCCAGGCCTTCTTGCCTCCCAGGGACCAGTGGGAAGAAGCCACAGGCAGACGAATTCCAGCACCAGGAAGACAGGGGCTGTGTTAGAACTGGTGGTCAGAAGCTGGCTACTGAGAGTGCTGGGTAGCCCTGGATGGCAACTGGCCGTGCTGTTATAGAAGAGATTTCTGCTTTAGACCCCTGAAGTTTCTTCCAGTTTGGAGGTTTTCTGATATTAAGGTACTCAAGACCCTCAGGAAGTGAACTAGCAAATAAGAAATTTCTTGGTCCTTTTAAGAAGAGTAAGTTCTTGATTAGCACTTGTTTTTGATTCAGTGGGGAGGTCTGGTGACATGATCCAAGGGGACTTAGTTGTGCTGCTAACTTTTCTGTTTCTCTATGGGTTTGAATCCACTGGTGGCGCTGTGGGGGAGAATAGGCAATCTCCTCCTGTGTGATTTATAGCCTCTGAAAACTTGCTGGAGGACCAGTTAGGAGTCATTTCTGACTCCACAGTAAGGAGTTTTAGTTCTAGTACTCTAGAAATAAGCAATATGAGAACACGTAATACGGTTTTGTAGACATTAAATTCAAGTAAGTGCCTGAGCAAGAGTATAGCATCATCACATCCCTGTGACATGCACTTGGCACATGGTAGGAACAAGTAAATATTCACTCTCATCCTCCCTGAACCTTCGTTGCTCTCTCCTTTACATCCCTCCCTCCTTTTCTTTCCCTTATCTGTTCAGTCATTTATTTGGTAAGCATTTATTGAGCAACTACTATGTACAGGATTAATAAATAGTATTAGGTGTATTAAGTATTAAGTATTAGGTGTATACAGCGTGAAGGGAGTTCTGGTGGCTTAGTGGATAAAGGGCTAAACTGCCAACTCAAAGGCAGGCTGTTTGAATTCACCAGCCGCTTCATGGGAGAAAGATGGACAGTCTCCTCCCATATAGTTTGCAGCCTCTGAAGACCGACTGGAGGATCAGTGAGGAGTCAGTTTCAACTCGATGCCACATAACCACGACATTAGGCGGTTGACTGTGTCCAGAGTGGGAGACAGTGGAGGTGGGGAGGTGGTTCTAAGAGCCTCGTGAAGTCTGCCCAAGAGGTTCAGAAGTGACCCTTTGTCAGTGCGAGCACTGATGGATTTAATGGAGGAGGGGTTTGATCAGCTAGAAGAAAAGAACCTTTGAATTCAAATATTTAATTGTATCAACCCTAAACCCAGGAAGCGGAAACCCCGATGATACGAAGGTGAAACCCTCACTTGTTAACCAAAAGGTCCGTGGTTCAGATGCTCCAATGACTTTATGAGGTGACAGCCTAGAAAACCCTATTGGGCAGTTCTGCTGTGTTGCACAGGTCTGAGTCGACTCAGCACACAGCAACAGGATACCTCAGGAGAGTGTGAATCAAATGGAGCTAGCTGAGCCTGGAACATGTGGGAGCCTCAGCCTGGGGGTGAGGTAGCCTCAAACCCCCAAGCCTGCAGGGGGAGTAGGGGGTGTGGAGCTGGCGACAGAGATGGCAAGTGGGAAAGTCTGATCAGCCAAGAGGGATGTTATGCAGGGTCTCATGACTTCCTGTGTCCCCCACTCCACTTTGGCATTGAAACATAAGGCAGCAGCTCAGATTTGATTTTGGATACACAGCCCCAGTACACCCAGAGAAGGAGGTGAAGAGGTGCATCGCTCAGTTTACCTCATTTTCCTGTTTCTGGCCTAAGTTAGGATAGTTCTTCTATTGGAGTCTGGTACTCTAGGTATCTGGCTCTCTTGAGTTTCTGTTGCACCTTGGCTGAGAGGAGAGAAGGTCTGTTTATGGTTCTGCTGTCAGTAGAGTAGACCATTTTTAGTCTATCAAGCTAGAAAACACTTCCAGGGCTGAAGCTTGTGGAGAAAACCTGGGCTGGGGATGGCCCATCGCATGTGCTCTGGGACTGGCTGGATGCAGGGCTGTTGAATAGAGGTTCTAGGCATGATGGTCACATGCCTGGGTACCCTCCTGCTGCTTCTGCTCCCTTGTGGAGCGCCTGGCTAACACACTTATGTCTTCTTTTCTAGTGCTCCTAACAGATTCCGAGCTTAGCCTGCAGGAGCCCATGGTCCCTGCCAAGCTGGGGACCCAGGCAGAGAAGGACCGGCGGTTGAAGAAAAAGTAAGTGCTACAGGCCAGCGTGGAGTCCCCCACCTACCTTCCCAGGGGACTGACCTCAATGAGCCAGTGCCTTGCAAAAACCCTTTCTGAATTGAGTTGGCCCAGTCCTTGCGAGCACAGGCTGGTAGGTGGTATTCAGGCTGACCGACCCTCAGGAGAAGGGGGCAGGGAAGCTGTGGGAGATGACAGGGCCCTGTGGACGTCTGGTGGAGCCAGCTGAAATGGCCAAGGCAGTTATGTGTCCTGTCATAGGCAAACCAAGAGCCCTTCCTGCTCTGGGAGCTGGAGAGTCTTGTAGCCCCTTTCTGACTTAGTGTCACTAGTTCAAGCAGAGCACAGAGATCATGGGAATTGCCCGGAGGACCCCAGCCATGAGCATGACTGGGAGACAAGGAAGGACTAATGAGGCTTATTTTTCCTCCTCTGCAAGACACCAGCTGCTTGAAGATGCTCGCAGGAAAGGAATGCCCTTTGCCCAGTGGGATGGCCCTACTGTGGTCTCCTGGCTGGAGGTAAGCCTGGCCAAAGGGCATCTTCTCAGGAGCACGCACGGTAGGAGGGAGGAGGGACGCTTCAGGTGGAGGTAGTCTCCCTAGAACTTGCCCAGCACCTTTCTTTCCGGCTGGGTACACATGTGCTTATCTAGCATTTAGCCCACTTCCCCTAAGTTATTTTGGAAGAAAGAATGGATTCTGCTCACTGATGCCTCATAGGTAGGTAGACTTGGATGAAACTAGTTATCATCAAGATGATTTCAACTCCTAGCCACTCGTATGTCAAAATAGAGCCATGATCTGAGGTTGTCACTGGCTGGATGGGATGATCAGTCGATCACCAGGCCTTTCTTTTGCAGCACCTCTGTGTGGATTTGAACAGCTAAACCCATTAAGTACTCTCAATACCCAGTTTGAATAAGGGAGACTTTACATTTCACAGTTTGAATATTCATTTAGACTATTCCCTTGGAACTAAATCTCCTTGTCATGTTGGGAAAGTTCCTTGACTTTCCCAGGTATCAGAACTTTCATCTGTCATATGGGAGAGTGGGGACTTGAGACGGTCATCTCCACATTTCTAAGTTCCTAAGCATCCGTTACCTTGAAACCGTGGATGGAGTTTGGAGTTTGGCCCTTGGCCTTTGGCCCTTGACCCTGCTGAGCTCTTGGTAATAAGGCCCAGATCTTGGGGAGGGTCTCCACGTGGTGCCCTGTGCCTGCAGCTCTGGGTGGGCATGCCTGCCTGGTACGTAGCAGCCTGCCGAGCCAATGTCAAGAGTGGTGCCATCATGTCCGCCCTGTCCGACACGGAGATCCAGCGGGAGATCGGGATCAGCAACGCCCTGCACCGGCTCAAGCTCCGGCTGGCCATTCAGGAGATGGTGTCACTGACCAGTCCCTCGGCCCCACCCACCTCCAGGACTGTGAGTGGCCTCTCCCTCGCTCAGGACTTGGTATCTCGCCCTGGGGTAGTGCTTGCAAAAACTTTTCTCGGTGATTTGGAAGATGGCAGTGTTGATGCTCCCCCTAACCTTGTTGCTGCACGTCTCCATAAAGGCCCTGGTGCCTGGGATGGGGTCATGTGGACTCTGGAGGAGGTTCTGGCAGGCCTGTCTCCTGTGCATCACTCAGGGGCTCCTTTCTCCCGTCCCTGTCCTGCCAGCACATCTCGGGGCAGGGTTTCCAGGATTGACCTTAGTGGGATTCTGTCTGTGATGTTGCCAGGTTGGAGGAAGCAGTGAGAGTAGGGCACTTGGGAATTCTGCCCTGGCCTTCCAGCTCCCCATAAGAATGCATGAGACCCATGAGGGAAAACCTTTCATTGTAGCTTATCTCCACATCTGTATCATTCCTTTTTATACATTCTGGGAATGCTGACTGAGTACCTTCTACGTGTCAGGCATGAGAACAAGTAGTGTGAATGCCATAATTGGAAAGAAAAAGTATCCCCTGCTATCAGGTGTACAGAACTCTGGCCGAGACATGGGGTGATTCAAAGGAGGGGAGCTTCATCCTTGTTATTGGGGCTCCCAGCCTGATGGGGATCCCAGGACTAGCTAGATTTCCTCTCTCTTTTCAGTCTTCTGGAAATGTCTGGGTCACCCATGAAGAGATGGAAACGTTGGCAACATCTACTAAAACAGTGAGTCTGGCCTTACACTGATAGCTACTGTGTGTCCCTGAAGGACCAGGAGAAAAATGTGGGAAATTGGGAGGATTGCAGGTGACCCTGTATGATGCTGTGATCTCTGATGTATAACTCTGTTCTAGTCTCAGGATAGAAGGTTGGTAGGGGGAAGTGGTAAGCTTGGGAACAGTTTGTATTGGGGCTGATCAGAGGCCATTGATGCCTCCACAGTGAGGAAGACTGGACTTGAGAGGGCTTTGCCCAGACTGCTAACGGCCTGAAGCCACAGAGCTCCTGCCCGTGTTCTTGATCCTCACTCACGGCGCAGGCAGAGTTGACATCTTGCCAGGCCTCTACCAATTCTGAGGAGGGTTATGTGTGTGTGCGTGCGCATGCCTCTGCCATAACACTCACTCCTCTTTCATTGCAAACAGGGGCACATGCACCAGCTCTCTGGTCTGTCTTTTCCTCTGTCTCTTTTGACATTGTAAGAAATGATTTATTGGTATATTCGCAAAACTAGAGATGCTGCATCAGTGGTCATGAACACTGCTAAGTCTTGTAATAGATAAATATAATAATTTATATCTCTAGCAGGGTATGCCAAAGTCCATTTTATTCTACACTTTCCAGGTTTTAAAAATGAAACGAAGTGGAAAAGAGGATCACTTTATTCTTAGAATTTCCATCCTCATAGTGTAATGAGTTCATTTGAATACTTTGCCTTGTTGGGATACTAAATGTAATTCTGTTGACTTTTTGCTTTGTCTTAAGCATCCTGACAAGCTTTCCCTGGTCACCCTCCCACCTCCTGCGCTCCCTCTCCCTCCTCTCCCTGGGGTCTGGGGTGGAAGCTGCTAGGGGTTTTACTTTGCCTGTTTCCCCTGACATGCTGCACTCGTTCCTGCTAGGACAGTGAGGAAGGCAGCTGGGCCCAGGTAAGACTCTCCCCTTTCTCCACAACCAACTCTCAGAAATCAGGACAGACTCTCCGCAGGGCCTCTCCCCAGCAGTACTCTGAATCCCGGTGTGTTCAGGATCTTCCTGACACTCTGAGCCCTAGACACAGGTTCTCTCCTGCTGACGCCTCCTCCTCCTTACAGCACTTTAGCTGCTTATTCAGTTCTCAGAATGACAGTTGTGGAAGCCCTGGGGTCCAGGCTGCAGAACGCCCAGCCCCTTCCCTCAATTTGACTCCCCTCCCAGGAACAGTGATAAACAAACTGTAGAAATCCTTTCTTCTCCTGCTCCTCCCGGGGACTCCTCCTGGTGGACTGAGTGCAGGCCTTCTTTCTCTCATTCAGTGAGCAAGTATTTATGAGCTTCTAGCAGAGCAAGCTCTGGTGGCCTGGTGGCAAGAAGCTGAGCTGTAATTCCAAAGGCATATGGTTCAGGTCTACCAGCTGCTCTGCAGGGAAGGATGGGCAGTCTCCTCCTACGAGATTAACTGTCTGAAAACCCACTGGAGAGTCAGCTTTGGGTCACTTCTCTGACTCGATGGTACACAATAACAACTAGAAATTAAGGAAACTCTGGTGGCCTAGTGGGTAAAGAGTTGTAGTGCCAACTACAGGCAATTAAAATCCATCAGGTGCTCACAGGATTAAAGGTGGGTGCTCTCAGGTTCTGACTTTGATAGTAGTGAGTTTTTCATGTTACTAGGTGTTGGGCCCTCTGGATATAAAAGTGAACAAACAAAACCCACATGGAGCTTATAGAAGAGAGAGAAAGAATAAATTAATTCACAAATAACTAGACAGTATGTCATATAATGTTATAAATGCTATGAAGAAATACTGTTTATAATCGGGAGTAACACCCTCAACAGGAGGCTGGACAGATCAAGCATAATATATTCACATAGTTAACTATTCAGCAGAAGAAATAGGTGACTTTTAGAACTGTAATGTTAATTGAAAAATGCAAGTCCCAAAGGTCCAGAAAATTTGATACTAAAATTAAAAAGCAATCAAAATTAGTAACAATACTTTTAGAGACATACACACCAGGGGTTGTAAAAAATCATTTTTTTTGACAAGCACTGTGGCAATTGGACAATTAAAACAGACATTCGGATGGCGGGGGAAGAAGAACAAACTGGGAAGGAGAGTAGAGAGAATGGTGCAGCAATGAAGGAATGAAAACCCAAAATCCCTGTAAATGTTCATTAAAACTAATAAAATTGAATAATAAAAAAATCACTTTTTTTAAAAAGTCTTTTTGTAATGTGTATTTTTAAAAATTTTTAGTTAAAGTTTACAAATCTTACTGGTTTTTCCTTCAGCCATTCATATACATTTTGTTTTACAGCATTAATTACAATTTATTAACTAATTAATGAAATATAATTGATTAATTATAATATCTGATCAACCCCTTATTATATATTGTCTTTTCCTTCACCCAGTTTACCTATATATATTATATTTTTTTGGGGGGGTGTCTATATTCTTTTTTATTTTCGTTCATGACACTAAGGTGCGCCTGATCCAGGCTGTGGTCTTCGTAATTACTTGCTATGCATCAGAGAGGTGGAAAATGACTATGGATGATAGTAAGAGAATTGATACCTTTGAGCTGTCTGTGGTCCTGGAAAGGAATATTGAATATACCATGGACGGCTAGGAGAACAAACGGTTCATCCTAGAGAGGGTTAAACCAGGCTGTTCCTTGGAGACAAGGATTCTGAAGTTTCGTCTGACATACTTTGGACATGTTGCAAGGAGGGACCAGTCCTTGGAGTGGAGGGACAGCACATGAGAGGAAGACCCTTCATGAGACGGATTGATTCAGTGACTGGGGTAATGGGGGTAGATGTGTCAGAGACAATAAGATTGGCACAGGATAGAGCAGGGTTCAGAGCTGTTGTTATGAGTCTCAGGTGACTCGGCACATAACAACAACACATGTTTTATACAATCATTTATACAATCTACACTGTATATTGTATAATTAATTACTACTGATCTACGGACCTGTTATTACCCTGTCTTTTCAAGTGCTCTGGAATCTTTCCTATTCCTTCACCCCCTTCCCCTACTGCCCACTAACCTCTTGTTTTCCCCCTCCCCCTTTTTTCTACCTGCACTTCTCCCTAACTGTCCTGCATTTGAACATTTATGCATATCTTGCTCAGTTATCCTCCTGTTTTCCAAAAAGTATTCCTTTTAAAAGCAAAGGCATAATAAATGGAACGCTCAGGCTAGCAGAAGGGGCAGTGGGGGTGTGGCTGAGGGGAGAGCTCACAGGTGAATGGGAAGAGTATGGACCATGTTCTTATTCCTCACCTGCATGGTAGGTCCCAAAATGCTCATTTTACTTTTTTAAAATGTCACTTATTTTATTGTTGAGACTCTCTGTAGCATCACTTCAGTGTGACCCCCTCGCAGGAGCAGTGGGACTTAGATTGGTGGGCATCCTCATTCCTGTCCTGCGTCTCTGGGGACAACACAAGTCCCCCAGTCTCTCCACATACTATTTAGAGACCTTGATCACATTCTTCAAGTTGTGCAACTTTTCTCACCCTCTTTTTCTGAACTATCCTCCTCCGTTATAACATATTCACTGGCCTCTAAAGTTCTTTTCTAATCTTTCAAATTGTTTTTGTCAATTTGATCTCATATAAATAGTTCTGATAAAGCATAGTGCCCAAGGCAGACATTTTTAACTAGTTCATCTTAACTATTGTTTGGTTTTAGAAGAATTCAGGGGTTCTCTTTGGCTTAAGGACAGTAGTTTTAGGGGCTCATTTACCCTCGATGGCTCCAGAAAGTCTGGCATCCAGGAGAATGTGACATTCTGTTCTGCATTTTCCTCATCATATTTATTCTTAATAATAAGCATTTATTACATGTATTCTTTATGTGTATGAGAAACTTCAATATAAAACCTAGTAAAAGAAAAACTGTTCAGTCTAAAGTAGGTAGGTGACTGGAAGAACTCAGTGGTATTCAGTTCCCACTGCTGCCTGTTTTGAAAGGGATCAAAATAGAAGGTCATTGGTGGAATGGGAGAGATATGTGGAACAAAAATCATAATTATTAAAAGAAAAAAATCGTTCTTGCTAATCTGATAAGCGAGCTCTGGTGGCTTAGTGGTAAGGAGCTGTGCAGCCAACCCAAAGATACGTAGTTCAAATCTGCTAGCTGCTGCACATGACATAAATCTGCTGTGTGATTTACTGCCTCTGAATACCTGCTGGAGGGAGGCTCAGCTATCGGTCATTTCTGACTTGATGCAGAGCAAGAACTGTAACAGAAATCGGTGCACTCTTTGGCCCTTGTTGTGGCTAGGTGCCATCGAGTCAAGTACGACTCATAGCCACCCTTGTGAACAAAAGGTCTGAACCCTGTTCTGTCCTGTGCTATCCCCACACTTTCTGACCCACAAGAGCCCATTGGAGCAGTCACTGTATCAATCCACTTGGTCAAGGGTCTACTTGTCCTTTGCTGCCCCTCCACCTTTCCTGAGTATCATGTCCTTCTCCAAAGAATAGCCCCTCCTGGCAACATGCCTGAAGTATGTGAGGTGAAGCTTTATCATCTATGTCTCCAAAGAGCACTCTGGCTGTAGCCTCTCCAAGACACTTTATACTTTTGGCCATCCATGGGATGTTCATTACTCGTCTCAAACGCCACAGCTCAAAGGTCATCCTTATTTTTATCCTTATTCTTCTTCTGTCATCCTTATTCATTGTGAAGCTCTCAGATGCACAGCAAGTGATTGAAAAGATCGTGGCTTGGGTCAGTTGCACCTTAGTCCTCAAACTGACTTCGTTACTCCCTAACAATTTGGAGAGGTCCCTAACTGCAGACTTTGCAGTGCAATTTGTCTCCTTATTTCCTGACTGCTGGTACTGAGGGTATTAATTGTGAATCCAAGTAAGATGAAGTTATTGACAGTTTCAGTCTTTTCTCCATCTATCATGATGTTGCCTGTTGATCCAGCTAAGAATCTTTGTTTCCTTAGCACTGAGATGCAATAACCCTTAGGAACCCTTTAAGCTTGGATCTGAAATCACCTCCAGATTCAACTTTCAGGAAAACAAGAGATGGAATGATAAACTAAACAGATTACACGAGGGAGGAGTACACTCCTTAGAATAATCGTCCATCCAAGATCAAAAGGGCAGCATTTGCCCAGGGAAGGCAGGAAAGGACAGGAAAGAAAGATGAATGGAAATGAGGAAGCCAAATGGCCTCAGGAGGTGTGCTGCCACGCTGTAGGGATTGCAGTCCTCATGAACACAATGGGTGTGAATGGAAAACAAATTTGTTTTATCAACTTTTGTTTTTTTTTCAACTTTCACTCACACCATAATAAAAAGGTAATTTAAGAGAAAATAGAATAAGTAGGGGAAGAGGACAGAGAGTGATGGACCGTCACTGTTGAAATGAAAGCTTTCTAAAGATGGGGTAGTCAGGATGCTTCTGAAAAGACGAAGTGTGAGCAGAACTGCCCTGTGGGAGCCAGCAAAAGAGAGGGAGGGTGGGGAAAGGAAAGGGCTCGGAGAACTGAAGTAGATACATGGCCAGGAATAGGGAGTGGGGTACTGGCTATTCAGGCACAGACCACTTTTTCTACCACACCAGCTGTCCTCTCCCTCTCTACATGTCCCCTGTATCACAGCCTGTCCTCTGGGCTCAGCAGGACATCTAGGATCAGCAAGGCATGTCTATTGTACATCACAAATGCGTTCCTGACGTGGCAGGAAGATTCCATATTATCTGTTGCCCAGAAAGAATGTCATTCCTTGCCTTTGCTATCACTATGTACCATCAAGCCAGCTGACCCTGCAGAGGCTACAGATTTCGTGGGAGGAGATTGCCCGTCTTTTCCCCTTGGAGCAACTGGTAGGCTTGAACCATGTGCCTTTGGGTTGGCAGCACGACTCCTTACCACTAGACCATCAGAGCCTACTTGCCTTTGGACGTCCTGAATTCTCTATGTTTACCCTAAGAGGATCAAACTGAACACAGCAGTCATTTAGATGTCTAATTCCCTCGAGTTGAAGGAGAAGTCTAATTTCTTCCAAGTTCAGGTTGAAAACTTTTCTGACTCTGGTAATTGCTTCTGCTCATTAGTTCATTAGATAATTGATATGTGCATGGGATTTTATCATTTTAAGATCTTAAAAAGTTCCAACTAAATTTCCCATCCTCCCCCCACTACCATGCTATTAGTGGAAATCAGCTGAAATATTCTTGAACTTCCCTCCTTGCCTCTGTGCAGAGGCGGACTAATGCTTCTCCCTTGCTGGGCTCGTGTGCTGCAGGCTGCTATCACTGCTATTCTCCCCCGTCTTGTTTCCTCAGACCCTGGCCTATGGGGACATGAACCACGAATGGATTGGGAATGAATGGCTCCCCAGCCTGGGGCTCCCCCAGTACCGCAGCTACTTCATGGAGTGCCTGGTGGACGCCCGCATGCTGGACCACCTCACCAAGAAGGACCTGCGTGTCCACCTGAAGATGGTAGACAGCTTCCATCGGTGAGCACACCGGGGGCCTGGGGCCACCCCTCAGGGGTCTCCTCCAGCTCTGACTCCAGCAATAGAGGTGCCTTCGTTTCTTCCTGTGGCCTGTTCTGGGTAGTCACCACTCTCCCTGTTGATAACATCTCCTCTGCTGAATCTTGGTCTCTGAGGAAATTTGAGGATTTGATTTACACTTCTCTCATTCTTCAAATGTAAAAAGTAATTTCTCCCTTCTTTCAGAATTCCCCCCTGGGTAGTTTCACTACTAGTCTTTCTGTTGTTGTCATGTACCTTAGCTGACCCTCTCTTGGGCTTTCAGAGGCAGTTAATCACATAGAAGGAGAATGCCCATCTTCTCATGTGGGGCTGCTGGTGGATTTGAACTGCATGCCTTTGGGATTGCAGTGCAGCTTCTTACCACTAGGCCACTGGAGCTCCCTAGTTTTTGGCTTGGTAGCCTAGTATTTGAGCTTGTCTTTGTTTACTTTATAGGAGCACTTGTGGTCTAGTGGGTAAGGAGTTAGGCTGCCAACCCAAAGACAGATGGTTCAAATCCACCAGCTGCTCTGCAGGAGAAAGATGGGCAGTGTCTTTGCATGAGAGTGGTCCCAGGCGGTTTACAGCCTTTGAAAGCCCACTGGAGGGAGGGTCAACTATGAGTAGGTTCCAACTCGATGGCACATAACAACAATATGTTTACCTAAGAAGACTCACGCTGAACCCAACATCTAATTTAGCCCTACAGGTGTAGGACATGGAGGTTGTGCTGCTAACCCAAAGGCCAAGTCTGTCTGGATATTTGAATCCACCAACAATTCCATGGGAGAAAGATGGGCAGTCCCCTCCCATGCGCTTTCCAGAATCGAGACTGTTTAAGGATGGGCTTTGAGTTGGTTCCAGCTCAACTGTAATGATCTGAGTTTGTCTTTCAGTCCCCTCTGGAGTCTCTGGGTGGTGAAAATAAGTGTGCTTCACTGATAATCAAAAGGTGGGAGGTTCGAATTCACCCAAAGCACTTTAGAAGAAAGGCCAGGCAGGCTACTTCTGGTTAACCAGTCATTGACAACTTTGTGGAGCAGTTCTGCTGGGACGTGTGTGGGCTTGCCATGTGTCTATGGCAAGAGGTGGAGGGAACGGACTTCTCAGTTGAGGCTAAAGGTCTTTCTGGGCTTTGCCTGTCAGCACCCCAGATAAGATTTTCTGTTTTACGCCCATATTATTTTGTATAGGATGTCATCCACTCTTCTCCTCCTCTGTGCTGGAAAGAGCTGCTTAGAAGGGGCTGTGGCAGAGGTCCCAAACTGGCACCCGTGGGCAGAATTTGGCCCACAGATGTGCTATGTTTGACTGACACAGTGTTTGAAGAATTACGAATTTAGTTGCCAGTATTCAAACACTAGGAGATTTGACACAAAATTCTGGATTTCTGGATTTTCTTGAAAACTGGAAAGTTCTGTCAACACATTCTAGCACCGAAGCTGCCAGCTGAAGAGCACAGCCCCTAAAGGCGGGGTAGGAAGCCACATGTCCTTGCAATCTCCTGAGCTATTTATGCTCCATGCTTGGCTTTGGATGGCATTTGAGTAGGGAGCAAGCAGGGGTCGTGCTGCTACCAGGAGCTGACACATTAACAATTCCCTTTTACCATCTATAGGCTGCAATTTGAGTGAAATATTTTTCTTTGTGTGGCTTTTCAAGGTTCCTCCAGCCCTCTGTGGATTCCCTTACTCTTTCCAACTCCGACTACAGGAGGTTAAATATCGATGGGATCTTGTTATTGGGTTTTTTTAGTTTAGTTTTGTTTTTTTTCCATTTTCTGCTAGTTTATTTACAAAATTCTAATACATTGTCTTTAAGAACAAATTCTTTCAAGTTCCCTCATTTCCCTTACCCTACCCTCATCAAATTGTACAACCCCATCATTAACCCCCACTCCCCCTGCACATCCTCATCCCTCTGCTTCTATCCTCTCCCATCCCTCTTGGATCCTTATACTCATTCTACAATAATGGTTTTATATAATATTTATCCTTGTGGGACTGAGTTAGTTAACCCAGCATAATGCTCTCCAGTCCCTCCCAAATCAGGTAATAATTTACAAAATCATTGCTCCTGCATGCTGCATAATATTCCATTGTGTGAGTATACCACAATTTCTCAATCCATTTGTTTGTGATTGGACATTTTGGCTGTTTCCTACAGACTGGGAACAAACATTTGGTAATACCATCTCAGACAAGAGTCTTATACCAAAAATTTACAGAATATTTCTGGGCCTCCACAAGAAAAAGACTCATAACCCAATTACAAAATGAGTAAAAGAAAAGGAAAGAATTTTCACAGAGGAAGATATTTGAAGGGCAAACAGACACATGAAGAAATGTTCTAAATCACTGGCAATAAGAGAGATGCAAATCAAAACCACAGTGAGGTACCATTGTACTCCATTAACAGTGGCAAAGTTTAACAGAACAGCAAGTAATAAATGTTGGAGAAGATGTGGCATGATAGGAGCTCTTATACATTGTTGGTGGGATTGTAAAATGGTACAACCATTCTGGAAGGCAGTCTGGTGTATCCTCATAAAGCTGAACATAGAAATTCCATATGACCCAGCTATTCCACTACTTGAAATATACCCTGAGAAAATGAGAACTGAGGCACAAACAGAGATTGGTATACCATTGTTCATAGCAGCATAATTCACCATCGCAAGAACATGGTAACAGCCAAAATGTCCAACCACAAACGAATGGATTTTTAGAGGTTTTTTAAAGGTAGAATGTTGTAAAGAAAGGTTTACTAGAAAGTTACATCCCCAAAGGGACAGACCTTCCTCCTTGAAAGGAAATGTGGAGGGGAGGCTGGAGCCTGCCCTGTCGCATGGCAACTCCACGTCTCTTGGATTGAAACCCTGCCCAGCCCTGTGCCATCCTGTGTTTGGTTGCAGATCAGACAGTTGTCATCATAGGGCTTTTCATTGGCTGTTTGAGAAGGACATATCCAAGCCTTTCTTCCTAGCCTAGCTTGATGTGTGTTTTTATAATTCAAACTGGTAAGATTAGCAGTAGACCAGTTCTAAGAAATCTTGACTCAACATAGCCCTTAGTGCTTAACCTGCTATATAAGTCCATGATTTCTAACATCATCATTTCCTTGGGCCAGTTCCCCTATGTCCCTTGGGTTCATAGAATGAAAGGTGGTTTGCTAGAATGTCCCCCCAGAGACTCAGGGTGGTCAGAAGAATGACTTACATGACTGCAGGTATAAAGACTGATCTTGCAGAAACTGGTGAACAGTGGGCCAGGCTGGATGCTTAAACCACAGTATATAATTTCTCAGTCCAGACAACTTCTCATCCTCCAGAAGTTTGAACTAAGTCAGCAAGTCACAATTCGCTCCTGTATTGGTGTCTACACACACACACACACACACACACACACACACACACACTCTCTCTCTCTCTCTCTCTCTCTCTCTGGAAGGGAAAGGTCTCTCTTATATTGGTTTCATAGCTGTTGATAATTTGTAAGACCATGTGTCTGTAATTAAGGTAGCTGGAGACCATTTCTCCAGAGGGGACTAACACAATTAATAGAAAAGCCAATTTTAAAAGTCCTTTACTGACACTCCAGTCTGGAAGATCCCCTAAAACTTGTTCAGCACCCTAGCAACATGCATGCCTCCACCCACAGACAGTTGGTAGCCTTGTGCATTGACTGAGATTCAAAGCAGGGTTCTCCCACATCAAAGGTGATAATTCTACCATGGAATAGCCAAGGCCCCACATAGGATCTAGTTAGTCTTCCATTTTATCGATAAGGAGATAGAGGCATGAAAGGCAAAACTGGGATGCTTTAGAATGATGGTGGAACCTAATCTGACTCCATGTTCAGTGCTCGTGTCACCACACCTTACAGCTGCATGTCCTGGGACTCTCAGCCTGCCTGGCAGAGGCAGGAGGGCTGATTTGTGAGGGAAGCCTGTGTTTCCCCCCTCACACCATCCCTCAGTTACCACTGGGACTGAAAGGGAATCTTGCATCTCTCCTAGCAGCTTGCCAGCCCAGCTGCACCTGTCCCTCCCACTGATTGATAGGACCGGGAGAAGGGCCAGTTCTCCCCTCTGAGCCGGGAGATGCCTGGGCTCCTGGAAGTCTGTCATCCCAACCCCTGCCGCAGCATTATGGAAAGTCTCTCCCGTCCTCGGGGAGAGAATGCCAGGTTCCCAGTTACACAGCCGCCATCAGCTCCACAGCCTGGGTACTTCAGAGCCTCTAAAGTGTTTTCACATTCATCACCATAACTACATAGGCACCTGCTTTCCCCCACTCCTTAACACATTATAAACATATTATGTCTTTAGAAAGTCTTTTCAAATCATTCTTTTGAATGGGAAAGGGATTTTTAATAGCTGATTTTACAGTTGAGGAAAGCAAGTCCAGTAGAGGTTAATTGAGTTAGCCGCTCAACCAGGTGGTTCAGGAATGAGATTAAGACCTTTATCTCATGGCACCCACTTGAGAGCTCTCTTCCTTAGAGCAAAAATACACTGACAAGCAGGTGTCCTCTGAGGAGCTTCTGTCTTGAGGAGAGAGAGCAGACACATGCATTAATCAGAAGCATCCCAGTACTGATTCCATTTACTTAGTGGTGTTCCAGGAGCTGCAGCGAGCACGTCTATACATTCTCAAAGCAAATCCCTACAGCAACCATGCAAGAGAGGCGTGACCCCATCTCACCTCTGAGGAAAAGGAGGCTGAGAGAGATTAAGGGCTGCATAACTTGTTAGGGACAGGGCTGGCATTCAAACCCAGTTTGATCTGATTTTAAGACCTTTATATTTTTCACTATGTGTGTCTTGGTTTCCTACTGCTACTGTAACAGAAAGTCCCCAGATATGTGCAATGACGCGTTGTCATTCTTGTCTCCAAGGAGCATTCTGGATGTACTTTTCTTCAAGATACACCTGTTTGTTCTTTTGGCAGTCCATGGGATGGATGGATGGGGATACAC